TAGAAAGTAATGCTGTATTCATTCTCTTAAGTACTATGTTAAATATAGCTTTAGGTTATAAAAACTGTTAAAATAGAAACTATGCTATGTAGGATTTTTTTTTAAAGAAGGGACTTGCAGCAAGATAGTAGCCACAGGACAACTAAATCTTTCAGAGAAAAAGAATTTATTGCTCTCTTATCAGAAGAAACTAACTTCTTCCCGCCTCGAAGGCACTGTCAGGATTCAGAGGAAGAAGCTGACAATGACCAGACAGAATCCTGTGTTTGAATGGAATTTATGTATCATGTATGAGGTGTATGAATATGCAACAGCCTATTGTTTTTAAGGGTTAATCCTTTGTTAACAGGTGTCCTTTTTTGGGCTCATGCTGCCCAGAAAAAGGTACCTGGACATCCATAACTCTTTGTATTTGTTGTCTCATATTGTCCTAAATGAATTTGTCCAAATTATTATTATTCTAATTGTATTACTATTTTTATAACCATTTTACTATTAATAAACGTTTAAAATTTTAAAAACTAGTGATTGGCATTTTTCACAGGTTGGTTGGGTTTGGTTTGGGTTTGCTTCTTTTTGTTTGTTTGTTTGATTGTTTTCACGGAATTGGTTATGTCGTAAAAGATGTCTCCGATCATGGAGTCCAAGCTATGGCCAAACAGCGCCGTGTCAACTAATGTCACTCTTGCGCCGAGAATGACACAGGAACAGGCAGGAGGCAGTATTGTAGAAAGAGCAAAAGGAAAGCTTCATTCACGAGAACTGCACGGTTTTTATAGTGTGATACAATAGATTCTATTTGATTGGCTAACTAACAAAAACATCTTCCTCATACACCGTCCTTGAGAAGAACAGAACGACAAAATAGAAAAACACCACCTGCAGATTGTTTATACTTAACAAGTTATCATATCCTTACAACTCCCCAAGAATTCTCACAAGCTGTTGTGAAAAACACTGGCCATTTCTCTCTCTCCCATGGCATCCACAAACTAGACCATGGCACTAAGTGCCATGCCCAGTCCTTCCTGAAACACCTCCAGGGACAGTGACTCCAGCACTCCCTGGGCAGCCCATCCCAGTACCTTATCACCCTTTCCGTGAAGAAATTCTTCCCGATGTCCAACCTAAACCTCCCCGGTTGCAGCTTACGACTGTCTTTTGCCCTGTCACTGGGTACCTGGGGGAAGAGGCCGAGCCCCAGCTGGCCAGAACCTCCTTTCATGTAGTTGTAGAGAGTGATAAGGTCACCTCGTTTGTTGTCATAGGGTTTATTTCCATTTCTTGGAGCAAAGACACAATGAGATTATTTAAGATAAAAACTAACACATATTTATTAAAACAATCAATATAATAGTTCCATGTTTACAAAACAGTGATCAGGCAGGTAAAGTGCTGCAGAATACTTAAATACGGACATTTTGTAATTCTCCAGTTTCTGGTTGCCCAGGTGGGGGTTACTCACAGACTGCGACGCCGCTCATGTGCTGAGAACAGACGTAGAGACTACAGGGATTTATTTGTTCAGAAGGCTGGGACAGCCTGGAAAAAGTGCAGAACGAACACAGAACAAGTAGAACGAGTATCTCTTCAGATCCTGTTACTTTGGGTTACAATTACTTAACCTCTTCTGCATAGAATAGTATTTTTTTTCCACTAACAAACAGAAGAATGGTCAGTAGGTGTGTGGTACGTATGCATGGAAACCCCGTGTGCTGGGAACGGGTGGTTTTGCACTGGATTTGACACACCAAAGGCCACCAATCTGATGGTGATCCTGTCACTCATGTACTGACACAAGGAGAAATTTTCTGAGTACAAAAGAGTGACCTGCATCCCTGCCCTGACATATGTCCTTTTCTTAAATCAGGATGCGTGAAGAAGCCACTGCAAGGCACAGGAAGGTGAGCCCTTTGCTGCCAGGTATGAGCACACACACACACAACACAAGCAGCACCGATCCCAGGGCAGGATCACACACTCTTACCCCATGGCACTGGCTCACACTGTGCCCTCTATGCTGCCTGTGTGCCTTTTGACTGGAAATCACAGGCAAGGAAGCTTTCCATGGAAAAACTGTATGTTACAAAGCTATGTATTGCCCCCTTGCCTGTCTTCCTGCCCAGGCATTCCATTTGAAGGATGGGAAGGTGACAACAGTGCTCGGTAGGAAAGATGCTGTAGACCATTGTGACAGGCATTTTTGAGGAATTGCTATTTCTTGGCTGCTGCTATAATACAGCCAAATGTAGTTTTCTCAAGGGATTTCCAGCTGAGGGCAGTGTGGAGAGGATCCACAAAGGAGAGAAACATTTTCTTTGTGTCTTGCTGGTGGACTGCTGGGAGTGGAATGTATTGTGTCCACGCAAATGTTTCTTGCATGTGGTTGTGTGGAAGGGAAGAGATAATTTTTTGCAGAAAATTAGACATCTTTTTACTATCTGAGGAAGAATATTCAATGTTACAGAATTACATCCTTCCCATTACACAGTATTTAGGGGCTTGAATGTAATTGACTATCATGACAGCAGAAAAAAATTCTGAAGACTCTCAGATAAGCAACTACGTCTCTAACTTTCATTATTTACTTGTTCAAGTTTTGGTTGGTTTTTTCTTTCTGAAAAAAAAAGAATGAGAGTCTTACTGGAGAAAAATCAGTGTATTTACCTATGTTGAAACCAGAAAATGGGTAATTTACAAAAAGTCTGAGAAACTCCTCCAACTGCTTTTCTTTCTGATCTAATCTATTATTCTAGAAGAGTGCCCCTGTGTTACATACTTTCATAACCACAAGTATTTTCCATAAAACAACAATAAAGTGCACACTGTTACAATGCCACCATTGACAGCCAGCTAGCCTGTCCTGCCAATCTGCTCCAGAAAAGCCTGTGAAGCACTGCTCCCTCCCTGCCACCTCTCCTGTCCCACAGCCTGTTTCCCCTTCTGGCACCAGTAGCCCTGGACAAGGGAGCACACAGTTGTTTGGACATCCTACAAAGCTTCATCAGCAACTTGGATTTGTACTCTTTTAACTCTACAGATTGTCCTAAACGTGTGGCAAGGAAATGAGGCTTTTAAGTCATCTGAAAACTTTTTAAACTCACTGATTTTCCAACAAAAGCTTTTTTTAATTTTGGTTGGATATTTAATATTTTTTTTTAATTTGTTTTTTCCAAATGAAAAGAACAACCTAGTGAAAGCTAAAGAAGAAACTTAGCAACTAATGCTGTAGAAGTGATGTGGGCCATGTTTTCTGATGATTTCCAGAAACTCAGGTGTTGAAATGTTGTAATTTGAAAGCTGTGTCTTGTGGGATCTATATCCAGCATCCACTTATTTCATCATGTATTTGATAATGAAGGCACAGGCTTACCCTTGCACTGGTAAAGGACAGCAAACACAGTCAATTTGCATTACTGACACAAAAAGCACAAGCAACAATAAAGCTAGTGTTAAAACATCTCGGCATCCTTCCTTTTGCTGTACTCTTTTTGGCCATCTGCCTATTCTTCCACCTCAAAAGGAAAAAAACATAGAAAATGAAGTTAATGTCAAACACAGGTTCACCTACACATTTATGTTAGTGGAAGATTTTTATCATCTGTTGCTGTACTTTTTGAGGGTCCTAGATGACAGTATTTACCTCTTCAAATGCCAGCAAATGGAAATTTACTTGAGTAATAGTAGCAGCTGACATGGTCCCTCAACTTTGCTAATGGTTTACATCACATTAAAAAAACTAGCTTTATTTCTTCCTATTTCTTGGATTACTATTGCTTGGTATTGCAATGCAGTTTTGTCACAGGTGAACAAAAAAGCCCTAGAAAAATAAGTTATCTGTTTGAGATCCCATGCCACTCACTCAGCATGTGTGGACTTTAAACTGGCAAATAATTTAAACAAGTTCTTTTTTTGTTTTAAATTACATGCCAAGAAGAAGATTCTGAGTGTCTTCTCTAGCAACTGACCTCACCAAATGCTTCTAAGTATATTAAAATCATCACCTTGCAACACAACTTTTGTTGCAAATGGAAGCAGCTATCATGGAAAAAAAAAACCAAACCAAAACCTATAGAATCTCAAATTAAGGAAGTGGCACTTAAAAAGCCTTTTTGCTTTTTTTTTTTTTTTAATCTCTAATCTCTACTCCAAGCAATAACTACCCTCACCTGCTCCCAAACAGGTTATTCAGTTTACGCAATATAAACTTATAAACATAAAGATTCATTGGCTGACTTCACATGGGCAATACTGCCAAGGACTAGACTCCATCAAGGAACACAGCAGGTGGTCAGTCATATAACATGCCACTTTACAACTCTACAAGCCTATAACAGCAAAAAACTTGGAAATGCATCACCACATCCAAAATAATTCAAAGGTTTTAAGTATGAAATCTAGGGGGTTTTATAGTGTTGCACACATAATTCAACTTGAGTTGTGCCAGTTCACGTGTTTCATATACAGTAGGTGCACTACACATAATGCTAACTGCAGGGATCCATACTTTTTGGTAGGGTTGAAGGAGGTGAGATGCAGTTAATCTCACTGCAGCCCTCTGATAGCGTGCCCTCACAATACGAGTCATTAATTGTATTACATGATTGGAAAACCGAAGTAAATAAACTGCTGATACTGGAAATTTGGCTCAGGACCCCAAAACAGATGGTTGGCAAAAAGGTAAAAGAAACCTCTCCCCCCAACTATTTTGAACAACTGACTTCCACCACACATCTGCAACCAAACAGTGGATAGAGAATTCATTTCCATGCTATTACATTGAGGTATAACTACCAGAAACATTAAACTATCAGTATTAGCTGATACTTATCCAGTTAATTCACTTTGCATAAGGGAAATTATTACAACACATCTAAAGGGATAGTTAAAGCTTACAGCTCATAATTTTCTTCTTTTTTTTCTCTTTTTTTTTTTGGTTGGTTTGGAAGAATTGAAGGGAGTTTTTTTTGTGTGTTTTATGTTTAGTTTCTTCTGTGCTACCAGCCGTAACTTCAAGGTTAATGACTTCCAAGCAGATTTGAAAGGAAGCCTGAAGACTTTTTCTTTTCCTGGGATTCTGTTTCTTGACCTTGTGAAAGTCCCAATTCTTTCTCAATCTGCTCTAGCTCAGACTGGTCAAGCAGTTCAAAATCATCAGCTTCCTCTGTGTCTGTCTCCTCGCTCAAGCTGGGTGCTGCCTGTGAGGGAGCTTGCTGTAGGGACTGCAGCTGGTCTTTGATGGCAGCAGACACCGCAGCCGTGATGACATCGCCAGCAATTCCACTCATTAAATTAAAGGTTTGGTCACTGGTCAACGGCAAGGACAGCCCTGCAGTGGATGGTCTCTCTTTACTCTGTCTGGAAGTGTGATCCACCTTGACATCAGTTTGCTCTTTCCTTCGTTTTTGCTGGGTGGGCAAACCGATGCTGGAGTCATCGTCATCGTTTGTGCCGGCACCGTTTTCTAAAGAGGGAAACTCTAAAAGATCTCGAGCGAAAGCTTCTTCATGATCACTAGGTCGGTCAAAATCTATTACAGGGTTAACAGAGAAAACAGTGTTAGCATTCCCAAAAGGTTTCCCAAAAAGGCAGCCACATGTAACAATGAGAGTAGCAAGTGTTCCTCTGAATACATTTACTAATTCCTGCTCCAGTAGTTCTCTGCTGGAAGGAGATTTGTGTGACATCTAAAACAAAATAGTTTTGAGGTCATAATTCTAGTGCCACAAATCCGCTGGTATCAACCTAACTATTTGAACAAAGTAACTTTTAAGCTAACTTTTTTAGGTATGTATCTGTTATGAAACAACACATACAAATCCTCAGCAGAGCTATTTCGAAATATACAAACCACATGAAGTCCTAAAATTTATTTATCTTCACAATATATACAAGCTACAAATATGTAAACATGTAAGGATGTATTACAAACTTTTAATATGCATATGGAGTAATAAAAAGAATGTTTATCTGTTTAAAGAAAAAAGATATAAAACCAATGTAAGGACTAATTTCTTTTTCCTTTATTGGTCAATGCTTGTATTAAAAAGGAAACAGAAAATGGAAACTCTACAGATGATCAGAATTGTTTCATGTTGTCAAGAGAATAAAAAGAAAGATGTAATCAACATTAGATTTTAATGGCTGCATTAATGCATGGCACAATATTTGTTATTAGGAATGTGTAAAACATACCATGGAATACATGGCCTGTGGAAGAGGCCTAAATCAACACAAGTGAATACTTTCATCAAATATTTGAATGAGAAGGTAAAAAGCTTGAACTTACTTTCTATGAAAACAAGCAATAGAAGCTTGTTGTAGGAGTATTCATAAGGGTTAAGGAAATAAATTCTGAAAATTACTAATACATCATTTTCTCCATATTTTTTAGGAAAGACAGGCTGGGAAGGTGAGGAGGAAGGGTTGTACTGCCTGCAGAGTGGTGGCTTGAATGCACAGAGCTTTGACAGGAGATCAGCCAGTCCTTGGATGCATCCCATTACGTCTTGCACTTCTGTGTGTCCCATTTGCTGAAATGCTCCATGGAGAAGAAGAGCTGATGTTATTTTTCACTTAGCAAGGCTATGAATAGAGTTTCCCACATGATCCTTACAGCCAAGCTGGTGAGCAAACAGGGTAAGGGAACTGTAAGGTGGGTGGAAAAGTGGCCAGACTGCTGGGGTCAAAGGCTTCATCAGTGCCACAAGGTGCAGCTGGAGGCTGGTTACTCGTGTCTGTCACGGGGACTGGAACCAGCACTGTTCAGGGGTTTTATTAATGACTTGGGTGACGGGCTGGAGTGCACTCTGCAAGTTCATGGGCAGAAAGGAATTGCTGTGGGACAGGTGTATTTGATATTCTGGAGGTCAGGATGCCTTAAGAAGGACCTCAACAGGCTGGAGAAAGGAACAGGCTGAAAAGGAACATCGTGACATTCAGCAAAACCAAATGTGAAGTCTTGTACCTAGGATGGAATACCCTGTGCAGCAGGACAGGCCAAGGGCAACAAGAAAAGCAGCTTTCCAGAAAAAGATCTGCGGGCAGCAGGTCAGTGGTATGCCCTTGCAGCAAGGAAGGCCGACCACACACTGAGCCATAGTAGCAAAATTGAAGGCAGAAAGTCAGTGGAAGGGATTTTCCTCCTCTATTCAGCACCTGAGAGTACCCACTGAAGTACTTTCCCTGGTTTTGACCTCTCCAGTCCTAGACAGACAATGGCATACAGGACTGAGCCCCCTGGAAGGCCAGCATGATTATTTAGGGGGCTAGAGAAAGGATGTATGTAGATGCTGAGAGAATGGGCCGCGTTTGGCCCAAGAGAAGGTGGCAAAGAGGGATCAGTTTAATGGGAAGGTAGAGAGAAGATGGGCCTGACTCTTCTAGAAAGTGCACAGTGAAAGGATCAGAGTAAATTAACACAAACTGGAACATGGGAAATTTTGACTCAGTGTAAGAAAAAAACTTCTTCATCATGAGGGTAAGCAAATATTGAAAAAGGCTTTCCAGGAAGTTGCTGAATCTCTGCCACTACAGATGTTCAGAATTCAAGTGGTCACAGCCCTGAGAAACTTCATAAAGCTTTAATGAAGAGCTTTGAACCTGCTTTAGATAGGAAGATAGATGAGATGAATGACAATTGCTTTTTACAACTTACAGTTCTGTTCTCATACAATGCTATTTACAACTTGAAATGTTAGGAAAATAACTGAAATTATTAATTTGGCCTGTAGTATCATCTTGCTTGTCATTTACAGGGAGCTTTTCCTAGGAGAAATGCATGATGAGAAGAACAACAGATCCCCAGGTCAGATAACACCAAACTACTGCTGTTATTAATCTTTATTCCAGCAAAGTGTTTACTGATAAAAAGTAAGAATTTTTTTCCCGTCAAGATCAAGCCAAGTGCTTGAGAATCTTTTCCTAGTCTAAGTCTTCATAGGCTCATTGCTGGCTGTCTTCATGTCTAGTAGTAAAACCTGATAATACTTTCTTTAATTGGCTGTTTAACAAGTCAGTATATTCATTGTTCCTTTCTCAGCTTTTATTCGCTTAGCTTACCCACAAAGGCATTGGCAGTAATTGTAAAAGGTTTACTTACTTGAAAGGTTTGGTAGAAGAGAGTGCTACATCTAGCACTTATTGAATGTGTTGGTTTTACCCAGTGCTACTTATTTATTTAGACACTTGCTGATGTATTTTAACATTTTTAAGATGAGGACAGTTCTTACACAAGATGTATCCAAAACTACACAAAACACTAAGACTAACCTTAAATTAGTTTCAGAGAGAAAAGTAACAACCCCAAAACCTGTCCTCAAATTGTCTAATAATTTTGAGGTAACCTGCACATCTGGAGTCCAGTGATGATATAGATGAAGCTGTTACATACCGTCAGACGTGTCTGTCTGTGGAGAATACCCCTCAGATAAGTTAAAGGTCCCATTATCGGTCCAGGATACTTCTGAGACATCTGTGTCAGACACTGACAGCTCTTTGGCAACTATTGCAGGACTAACCTACACAGAAAACAGTCCCACACATGGCATTACTATATTTTAAAAAGATCACACTGCAGAAAGCCAATGCTTAGAGACTGGAAAAAAACCCTCTTGTATGTCATAGCAAAATAAATCACCGCCTATTTAAGCCTTAATTGAAGAAACATGAAAATACTATACAATGCTTAGAAGTGAAACATCCCTCTTTGTAATAACTAAAGGCCATATTATACTAAAGAAGCATAGAAAATTCCAGTTACTGCAATAAAAGCAAAATGAGCCAGCAAATACAAAATGTGCATAATGTAACAAAATGAGTAAACTTGGACCAGAAAAAACAGCCCAATATCTATAAGACCATCAAAAATTAGCTGAACAAAAAATCTATTATCCGTTACCAGTTTATTGAATAATATTTAATTATGTCAGATACAAATGTTTATCCCATAGGATAATTTTTTCCCAACACAAAATAACCTCCAAAGCAATCCCTGTCAAAGTCAGGCTTTACAGACTACTGATCAAATACTACATAATAATTCCTATTAAGATGATTTTTAAAATACCAACTGGTATTCTGATTATAACAGAAAAACCTTTGCCATACAGTCATTTAGAATACTAGAAGAAAAATAAGAAATTTGAGTGTTCTCATACATATCTAGAAAGATTTTATATACCTATTTGCACCATCATTGAAAATTATTAGACAAGTGATTACAAAAATATTTGACAAATTACATAGAACCACTACAGTTTCCTATTAATGTTTCTCTTTTGTATTTTAATTTGATAAAAATCAACTGCAATTTCTGTGTTGGAAATAAAAGTAACCACCTTTGCTTTTAAATATTAACACAATCATTCTACAGCCAATACAAAATAAACACATTCTTAGCTCAGTAGGCCAATGACACCATTACCTTGAAGGCCAGGAGTCAGAAATGCAGTAGGTTGGTTAGTATAAGGCTAAAGGTGGAGACTATGAATCACTTCTAAAGCACACTGCTTAGTTCAGGAACACAGCCTCCTGGGGAGGGCAAAGTCTTCCACAGGAGAACACAGACAGCAATCTAAATAGCCTCCCATTATCTATACAGATTTTAAAAGCAAGACAGGGCTGACTGAAAAAAAAGTCACCTTAGGACACAGAGCTGATATGTCTAATTCACTGTCATCTTCTGTGGCTTTTGTTTTTGCTGTTTCTGAAAGAAAAAAATATATTTTTTATTCTACTCATGACAATGGATTTCCAGGTTCAGTGTGTGTTCTCTGTCTCACAGCTTGTGTACACAATAACTCTCCACCTGCTGACACAGTGCACCATTTATGTGCTATGCTACCAGGGAAACAAGCCTGACTGAGAGACTGGCTGCTTATCAAAATACAGCAACCATAGTGGGAGAAAGAATGCTATTCTGAATGCATTCCAGTAGATCTATTTACCTGCACTTCCTTCAGGAGTCTCTGTTGCTCACTAGAAAGTCATCTGCCCTGGCAAACAGATATCTCTTTTTTAGACTACGCTGCTGGTAAAATGCACAGGTGTAACAGGTTGTTAGAACAGGCTGTGTAGTTATCCCACCACATTTCTTTTACATGAGAACATGCAATTTGCTTGATAATTGCATGTAATCTTCATCTACAAACCCCTTCTTCTACCAGCACTCAGCTACCCTGCATTCACAGTCGTATGCAAATATGCATACAAAACATCCTCTAAAGTCTGGTAGAATGTTGCTCTTTACAGATAAGCAGAGATACAAACTTTGCCTCCTCTGTCTGAGAATCTTTTAAACCAGTATAAAATGAAAAACACAGCCAAAGTGCCCTTGGTTGCCTTCTCCTGCGACTTGCTCTTTCCTCTCTTGTGCCAACACAAGGTTTGTGAGCGCATGTGGTGAACCCAAGAAGCAAAGCAAGGTAGGGAACTTGTCAGTGTTAAATTAAACTGGAGGATGAAATGCAGGAAAGAACACATATACCCTCAACCATTTTCCCAGTGCTGGCTTATGAAGTTTATTAAACTATAGTCTGATCTTTATCTCTGCCAGTTTCACTTAAAAACTGAAAGGTAGAATAATGCATGAAAGAAAATTTCCAATGCATTATTCCTTATTTTCAGTTACTATCACATTAAAATGTAAGAGAAGGGGAAAAGACACATGGAGGTTCTCCTTGGGTCTAAGAACAGCACATTGTATAATGAATTGTAAAATGGTTACAAGAAATGCATGTTTTAAAGTAGATATTAAGTCTACTGATGTAGCACTAATTTAAAAGGGTAGAATACCTGCAAGTAGTGTGACTACACTGCAAAGGTTTAATTACCAAAACTGGAGCATGCAGAAGAAACAAACTAACATTGTTCATATACAGATTTTCCTTGAAATAGCTTTATTGCTTAAAATCTAAAAGTTTCCAGTATTAGAAAGATATTGGGTGAGATAGGCAAGATTTTGTTTAAAATTGATTCCTCTCCTTTCCACATAGAAATTTGGATTAATTTGTAGCTGCTATCCTGTGGCAATTCTTATATGCTTTTGGAATATTTGGAGAAGAAAACAATTATTTTTTTGCTGGAAGGAGTGAAACCAAGGCAGATTTAGATACAGGAACAGAGTTTTGTTTCTTACTGAAAATTCTGTTGTGTACTTATTTTGAGACTCTTGAGTGACTCTCTCTACTGGGAAAGTTTGCCTTATCTGAAGAGAGATAAGCATTGCAAGCTTACAGCAAGTTTTTTTTTTTTTCCTGAAAACTTATAAGCAGTACATCTAATCACATACAAAGAGCTTGCCTTGTTTCTTTCCACGAAGTAATAATTTCTTTATTATCAAACCCAGACATTTGACATACATTGTCGCTCCTTATAAAGCTAATAAGAGTAGCCAGTTTCAAAGCATGAAATATCTCTACAGCTGACTTCTCAGGACAAACCAAACTTTCTGCAAGGTGAATGAAATGCTCTGCATACAGAAACACAATAATATTATATAATAATATATGGGACTATAATTAACTACTCACCAGATCTCTCTTTTTTCTTCTGATTGATATATTCCACTATTCCAAAATCTACTTTCATCAGAACAGACTTTATTTTGCTGCACAGTTTCTGTCCAAATTCATTGCACTTAAGGAAGGGACATAAAAAGGCACACAATACTGTGATAAAAATGAAGACAGAAAAAAAAAAGGTATTGAAATATTGCTGTACAATAAGCTACTAAAAAAATTTAAACAATGCCTTTGCATAAGATAACTACTAACTTTACATAACACACAGTTTTACATAAAAATGCATTGTGGAATGCCCATGTCAGACACTTTCAAGTTAAAATCCAGTTTTGAGAAGCCATTCCTACTCATCACAGAAAACGCCATTATACTCATACCAACTCACATATTTTTGACTAGCAGTAAGACACAATTTATGGTCATTATAACATCTATCATTACCTTAACTTAGTCTGATTTTGGTATCTCGACTTTGACAGAAGTGACTATGTAACATTGTGCCAGAATCACACTGAAAACACTTGTAAGCTGACTTCTGAATGACAAAAAACTGCAAACAAATTCTTTCTTCTATCTAACCTAAATTGACCCTCCTTCAGTTTAAAACCATCACCTCTTGTGCTATTGCAGCAGGCACTGCTCAGATGTTTGTCCCCAGCTTTCTTGAAAGCCCTCCTTAGGAACTGAAAGACCACTCCTCAGTGTTCTCTTCTCCAGGCTGAACATCCCCAGCTCGCTCACTTTTCACAGGAGAGGTGCTAGGGCCCTCTGATAATCTCCATGTCCCCTCCTTTGGACTCAACAGGTCCATGTCCTTCCTGTGCTGGGGACCCCCAAGACTGCAGGTGAGGTGTCACCAGCGCAGAGTAGGGGGGCAGAATCCCCTCCCTCACCCGGCTGCCCACACTACTTTGGCTGCAGCCCAGGACACGTTTGGCTCTCTGGGCTGTGAGTGCCCATGGCTGGGTCATGTCCAGCCTCTCCAGCACCCCCAAGTCCTTCTGGGCAGGGCTGCTCTGGATCTGTTCATCCTCCAGCCTGGATTGATACCACGATTTACCCTGATCCAGGAGCAGCACCTTGCACTTTGTCTAGCTAAACCTCATGAGGTTCTCATGGGCTCACTTCTCAAGCTTGTCCAGGTCCCTCTGGATGCCATCCTGTCCCTCAGACTTGTCAACTGCACCACAGAGATTGGTGTCTTCTGCAGACTTGCACGCGTGTGTAAACAAGTAGATAAACAAATAAATAAACAGTCCCTACACAGAGACCAAATAATGAACAGTAGACAGATACAAAAATCATGACTGGAAAAGAGACCATACTTACACAAGACATAGGAGAGGACAACTCCAGGAATGTAACTTCCCAAGACAGTGAAAAATGTACATATGCTGCAGACTAGTAGGCAAAACTGGCAAAAACATTAAAATACACCATTAACACTTTCACTGAAATGATTTGATCATTTTGCAAAGGAAGATGTTGCATGCTAATGAAATCTAGAATGTAGCACAAAATTGAAGTTTGTTTTTTAAAACTGGGAATTACCTTTAACACTTCTGGTGAAAATAAGCATCAAACAGTCAATTTCAGAAAATTAGGGATGCATCCCCTCTTCTACCATAAAAACATGCTATTTTTATTCATTTATTGTAAAGCTTTAACAAGCTCATGTTTATTGATAATATTAATAGAAATTATACCTTCATTGCATGAAAATAGGCTGGACAATCTATATGCAGGAAAAAACTCAACTCACTAATTGCAATACTACAGTGCATGCTTGCTGCATGTTTACAAAAGCAAAACATCCTTCCTCCAGCTATAGCTCTCTCTCCTGTTGTGTCACTTTGTGAAACTGCTTTCTCTCATATGCTGGCAAGCAATCTCTTGATGCTTATTGGCTGCTCGAATACCCCTGTTAATGACATGGCTGAGCCAAATTTTCAACATAAAATTTGAGATTTGGCCTTTGTGGTGACTGAGACATAACAGTGGATTTTTCACCACTGCACAGTGCTCAACTGACCTGTTGAAAGTTTGCAGAAAGGATGCATTTGGTTTTGGAGCTGAATTGCAATAAAATGGTTAATTCAAAGAAATTTTGCACACAGCATTACTGCCTAATTTGCTTCTAATTATGGCAGTAAAATAATGGCATGGCTTAGAGAATGAGGTCAGGGAAAAGAATGGAAAACATGCTATCAACATTATATTTTCTAAATTATTATTAGATATCTCTTAACATACAGTTACGGTCATGTCACCACAATATTGATACCACATTTCTTTACTTCAGTATGAACTTCTTTTAAATATAACTTTATTGTCCAGACATAAAACTGCTCTTTATATGATTTATTAATTTTTTCTCCCTAATTTTCATTCTTCTATAATTTTCTTCTTTTTTCATCCAGCTGCTCATCTGTATTTTCAATCTTAACTGCTAATATTTGAGTGTGGTACTACATACTTTCTATTTGCTAATTCTGAATGGCTTGTTTTTAGGAAAGACTTTCTGGCAAATTAAGAGAGATTAAAAGAGGAGAAGAAGTCCTGTAGTCTTCTTTTAACTTGAATTTAGCAATAAAAACATAAAAATGTCATCTATTCTTATAATATACATTTACTTATTTATATTTCTCTTTGGGGAAAAAAAAACCTGCTTCATGTTTTACTAGAACTAAATAATGGTATTCTTCCAACTTGGAGGAAAAAAAGCCTTACTTTTGCTTGCCTCTTTATGAGCTGGGTTCTCCAGCTCAGTCTTTCCAGTAAAAAAAAAGGAAAATCACCAACTATTAGTGTATAGATTAAAAATTGCCACAATAAAGTATGAGGAACTCTCCTCATGCAGCTATTCCTGAAAGCTACAGTTATTCAAGAAAATAAAATGTTTGTGTTTAAGAACATGCCTATTTACTTCTTTGCTTTTCCAAGTTTTTATTAAATTGCAGTTAAATTGTGGTGGTTTAAATTTCCTTTAAAGATTTCATGGAATAACGGGTGGAATTTCAATAGTTGTAAGGGGATAGATTGTATTGCTGTAAAGTTTACTGTGAACAGCTTTTCCCACTGACTACCTACCTATGTTCTTCACAGAAAAAAAAAAAAGCAGAAAATCATGACTGAATGTGTCAGAATGTACATTTTTTTTTTTGTTCATTTGTGGCTTTTTCTAAATCTATCTCACCTTTTAATTAAATCATATAGAACTGTTAATCATATTGGGGAGTGCTTACCTTGCCAGGGTTTTGTTCCTTAAAGTGGGACATTTCTTGAAGAAATACAAATAAATTCATCAGTGTTTCTGAAATGCACTGATTTATTCTGAGTCTGTAGTCTTGACTGGAATCGGTGACTTTCCAGCTGAATAAAACAAACAAAACAAAAATACCCGACTTTGTTTACAGCTCATATGTAAGTTGAAACTGCTTGAAAACATCATGTAAAATGGCTGCTGCTATGCTAGAGACACCTGTGCTTGTTTCTTTGTATTTTATATTGAGCTAATTTGATATTTTAAACTAAAAAATATTAATCTGTTCAGTAGTAGCAGTTTTCAGTCCATAAAAAATTACTGCTTATTCATTCTTGTCATATGAAGACATTGAGTTGAAGGCACAGTTGTCATCCAAATCAAGCAACTGACCCCAAACTTGTTTTTAAACACTATTTTTTTCTTTTAAAAAATACCACAGTACTTTTTATTGCCACAAGATGGCCACACATATTAATGCATTTCATTTTAGGTATTTAATCCTTGTGCTTTTTCTTTCGTATTTTTTACTTTGTTCTGCAAACTATGATGATGAAATTGCTACCCAACCTAGAGAAAAAGAAACTGCTCTTGGAGTCTTGATGTTTACATTAAATTTCCTATTGAATTTAAGTTTTTCTATTATACTGAAAGGACTGTTGCTAAAGCTTATCTTATGACTGTTCAGTGCTTTTAATAAAATAACACCCCTTCCCCCCCCAAAAAACTTGCACCAAAGAATTTTTGGAAAACTATGGGACAGCAGCATATGTGTCTATCACATTTGGGGCTGATCAGTTAATCCAATATTGAACTTAAATGGTCACATCATATACCTTTGTGGAGTAAACAGAGCCTCTACAACAAAGCTGGTTTAAGAAACAACAAATAATAATAAAGACATGCCAGTCAATGTCAAGTCAAACTGGTACAAAGAATGGACAAACCACCGTGCAAACACTGAAAACCTGAAGTCAATTCTACACCACCTTTATTGAGTTACTTTTCACATAACACACTGCTGAGTACACACAGCTTTGATCACAGCGAATGCAAGCCAGCCATCAGCAACTCTGGTCATTTCACTGAGATATATAACCCATTACATGTCTAATGCATTAATAGTGAACATTTTGTCACAAGTAGATCGAATTGCAAGATAAATAATCGACATTCTGAAAAAATGGCTGTAGACAGGTCGGTGCACAGCCATCGGGGGACACACAGGCGGTCAGAGCAAACTCCTGACTCCTGTCACTGCACACGGTCGCTTCTGTAAAAAGGCACGATTTCGGTCAAAGATGCTCCGCGGAGACCCGTCCCTGCCTCCCGGCTGTCCTCGTTCGCCACGAGGTGGTGGCACAGCCGCGGGCACCAGCCAGGGACGGGA